AATCTAATTATGCCTTATTTCTCGTAGCCTGATTCTCAGACGTCCGAGGTCGTTCCCGACCCCTACGCTTTCCCTTCCCCGCCTACTCGCGCCATTTTTCGCGCGGTCTTTGACTCTTCCTCCTCGTTCTTTGCTCCGAAACAGCACGGAAATGCTTGCTACGCAGGCTTTCTCGTCCTCAGAGCCACTCGGCTTGGTAAGCCTCGTCCCTAGAGCATTACCCCACCCCAGCACTGTTCCAAGGCAATATAGCCCTGGGGCCGAGGTGCTTCTGTTCCTTTGACCCATGATTCCTAGCGTTCCAAGCCTAGCAAAAAATGCAAGATGGCCGCGCGAGATTCAGATGATTCTGTGGACTTTACTAGGGTCGTAACATGGTATGTCCGGGGCCCACTGATCCCTATTTTCTTGCCATTATTTTGATCCCTGAGCCCTGATAAAAGAATTGATCCCATCCATGTTTTTACACAAAATTTTAACTTAGGCAACTTTGTTTACCTCCAAATATAGAACATGCTCAAATAGGCTGATGAGAAAAACATTAACTTTAATTTTTAGTGCAAGTTGTAGGTTCTATCAGAACTTTCTATTCTGCTATCCCTGTTGATGTTGTAGTCTTATGTGAATTTTCTCTTTCACGCTGTGTGGGATGTGTTACAGTGAGGATCACGAGCAATTACTAATAGCAAAATACCTTCTTTACATGAAGTAGAAAAATTAAATGATGCAAGCCACAGGTTCTACAGTTTAACAACATTTCTGTGTCAAGCCCATTAATGGCTGTTCCTGGCTTAATAACCATTGTACATTGTGAGAGGACATATCTGGTTGTAGGTCTTCCAGACCTACTCCTTCCAGCTTCAAATCTAATTGGCTCTGAAAAGTTGTCCGCCTGAACTTGCTCCCCGGTTCCTCTTCGTCACCACCTGACGCAGGTGAATCATCTGATTCAACTGACCCCTGGAGCAATGCAACTAGGCGTTGCTCTTCAAGGCAGCTCAAACAGAAGTTGTTTCCATCTTTTATTATTTGAACGTTCCCGATGATACACTTACGTGAATTTTTATCGTCACGGTGCCCAGTCTGGTATACAAGGGGATCTTCTTCTGACTGTTCCACCCATCTCAAACCCATGTGATCTTCCAGGAATGCGTCACTGTTATGGTGGAGATCTTTTAAAAGAACTGCAAGGAAGAAAGGATGATATACCACTTGTAATTGTGCTTGAGAGCAACTACGTCGCCTTTTGAATAGATAATCTCATATTCCTCGGCTGCGTCTTGAACTGTAGTTTGTCCTTCACTCCCTTGGACCTCTTTCAGCACATCGACTTCTCCATATGCCGACGCATTCATTCTGAACATACTCAGAGCAAGTGGAAGTGTACCAGCTCTTTCTTTGGTCTTCCCTCTTGTTCGTTGCTGTCCTACACCCCGTCCGAATTCTTTCGCAAAGCTGTGCAATGCCTTCCTTTGTCGCTCGATCCTTTCCCTCTGCGCTCGTTTCCTCGTCCATATCCTCCTTAAGGTTTACTCTTGCCGGGCGACTTTCGAAGCCATTCCGGTGCCTTTGGACCAGCTTTCTCTATGGCTTTGAGGACCGGTATAAAAGATAAACGAGGATTGGTAGAGCCTCTCTATTGATTCTACAAGGCAGCTGGGCCGCCGCGATGCGTATTCGTTCAGAGCGGGTGTTCTCACTCCACTAAACAATTCAGGCTCCAAATCTAAGGTGATGATACCTTTCGGCGCCAACCATTACATAAGCCGAGGCCGAATAGCCCAAAGGGCCGAACAAATTCTTGTAGATCAATATTGTCACTAAAGTCTGTAAATTTTGTGCAAAACAAAATAGCCACTACTACGTACACGAATGAGGTCTGAAAAAATCTTGCATGAAAAAAATAACCCATCCCCGACTCAAAAATCAAATAGTGGGCCCTTACTGATGGCCCTGCATGTTGAGTGCTATAATATATCTATTTAAATTCCTGCCGACTCTGCTACTTGTACCTAGTATGCAACATTCCTTTCACCAATTCAACCGTTTATTTTATAAAAAAACTAAAGAAAATAAACTATTAAGGTTTTGTTACTCTTATTTCATCGAGGTAAGTCTTGGTGTTCCACTTATTTTCACTAATTCTATACTGTAATTTCAGACTATTATTTTATCACACAAGCATTTATTAGTTACACGGTAATGGAATATGCCCTTTACTTTCTCGGCCCAATACCAGTACTGGTAGGTGAAACGATCTCGGTTTCTCATCAGAGTTCGAGATAACCCTAAACTCCATGCAATTAGAGCAGATTTATTTAATTGCGAGAAAGCATTTATTTTGCAACAAAGCGCGCGAATTCATTGTACTTTTGTATTCTACTTTTGATGTCCATTTTAAATATTCAAGTACTTTAAGAGTTAAGTTACCGGTCAAAAAATACGAACCTCGATTTATAGTCGCCTTGTGACTTGCTTGAGGCGATGAGGCAATCGGGATCTATACAGTAAATTCCGCTTTCAATGAATCGGTTTGTCTATTGTCCTGGCGGTATTGTTATGTTTGATCGGCCCAAAAACTCTATGCTTGGACCCTTGCCAGGAGTAAATCAGTCAAGGAAGTACTTACGTACCTGGCTCTGTCACAGGATTTCTTTTTGCCCTTTTTCTTCTTCCCCATTTCTCGCAAAAAAAGATATGTATAAATCGCTTTCTCTGCCTTCTGGCGTTGACACCCGGGGGGGGCACTCCCATACATTACCTATACGGGTATGTGCCGCCCAACGGGGTCGTGATTTTGAAGCTCCTGGTTTAGAACGGGGTATCCATTTCAGAGGCGATTTCTAGAAAGGGGTATAATATTTCGAACGCACGAAAGCTCCACTTTTGTAAGCAGCCATTTAAAATTATTCAAGGACAGATTGCTTTTAAAAATACGGTTCAATGCGTTAACAAGCAAACTGTTATACCCTTGTTGCACCCTGGAACGGAGTATAAAAAATTGGCCCATTTCTAGAACGGGGTATCAGTTTTAAAGCGAATTCTAAAACGGGGTATAAAAAATTGGCCCATTTCTAGAACGGGGTATCAATATCAGGAGAAATTTTTTTTAGAACGGGGTGCCAATTTGTAGTCCCGGGCGGCACATACCCACCCGAAAAATACCCAAGTGCCCCCCGGGCGTTGACAGCGCGTTGAGGAGTTGCGTTACAAAGCGAGAAAAGTGACTTGAGATTCATATTACGGTGCCCTCAACAATTAATAAATTAAGAAATCAATATGATACCATGTTTTCGTCAAACAACCAGGACTTCGTATGACAGGAACTGCCGCCAGCCGGAAGCAAGAATAGGTAATGTACCTCGGCCAGGAAATTCTATGGACACAAACCTTATTAAGCGGAAAAATATTGTGTTAAGAAATTTTTACACCGTGTAATAAATCTGATCACTGATTTGGGCTCAAAAGCCTAATGTGATCCCTGATCTCATTCTTCTGAGCCCTGAGCCCTGATCCCAGTCATATTTTGGGCTTTGAGCCCTGAGCCCATATCCCGGGGGGGCACTCACATACGTTACCTATACGGGTATGTGCCGCCCAACGGGGTCGTGATTTTGAAGCTCCTGATTTAGAACGGGGTATCCATTTCAGGGGCGTTTTCTAGAACGGGGTATAAAAAATTGTGGATCACGGCTTTATCTTCTGCTTAAAATTGTTGCTGATTATGAAGAAGCATTTATTTGATGTATAAGTCGAACAAGGAAAGAAATATCTCTTTAAAAACAGGGCTTTCTCAATTTACAAACTTTCTAGAACGGAGTATAAGCAACTGGCCCATTTCTAGAACGGGGTATCAGTTTTAGGGCGAATTCTAGAACGGGGTATAAAAAATTGGCTCATTTCTATAACGGGGTATCAATTTTAGGGGAAATTTTTTTTAGAACGGGGTGCCAATTTAGAGTCCCGGGCGGCACATACCCACCCAAAAATTATCCAAGTGCCCCCCCCGGGGCCCATATACCATGTTACGACCCTGCTTTACAGACGAAGGAGAGCTTGCCGAGGTCAACAGCCTCGTCAAGAAAATTTTTGACATTTTGAACAGGGAGACTTCGCGGGTTCGTAAGGAAAAGAAGCTTTTGATGATGTAGCAAAGAAACTCGAGCACGTCCATTTTTCTAAGACGTTATGCATCAGTCAATTCCACCTGCGCCCAGCCCCCAGGCTACTGCGGGGCATTTGCCCGCCTTGTCAGTCGGGGTGGGGCATTTGCAATTTTGCACTGCCGGGGGCCGGGAATTTGCCAACCCCCGGGCCATTCCCGAGCTTTTGACACGCATGCGGTTTCCTATCAGAATATAACTACACGGAAGGTTTTACTGGAAAAAAAGCAGATTGGCTCATCTGTCAAGGACAGGAATAAATTGAAGAGGGTTCAGAAGGCATGTTCTCGAGTTTATGCATGCATTTCTTCATTGCTTATCAAGCCAGAATTACATAGCGAAATTGGAGCTATCGATGTGAATCAACGTATTTTGGTTATTGAATCAAATTTCCGTTGATATTATTTGAAGAACACCCTTTCATATTAATAAAACTATTCATAACATATAACTTTACAGCGCTCTATTAATTTTAATGTCAATAATTTTATATCAATACTAAAACCATAAACTGGTGCATGTCGTCGCGGCGTGAAGTCTTAATTAGAATTTTAGCACTATTACGAAGGAAGACGTTAATTGAAACAAAAAATCGCACTTTAAAATGGCACTATTGGACTGTGCGATCAATAAAAAATGTTGCACTGTTGACGGAGGACGAGGCATTTGCCCTCTTTTTTCTTCCCCACCCCGGGGGATTTGCCAGCTGAAGAGTCCCCACCCCCAGGAATTTGCCATCCAAGGCAAAAAAAATGCTAATTCCCGGGGGTCAGCCCGGGGGGGGCCTGGGCGCAGGTGGAATTGACTGATGCATTAAAGCTAAACATTGGCGGCCAAATGTTTACAACGAGTATGGAAACAATGAAGAAAGATCCTGGGTCAATGCTACATGCGATGTTTTCCGGTAGATTTGATTCAAAGCCCGCTGAAGACGGTTCCTACTTCATTGACCGTGATGGAACTCACTTCCGGTATATCCCGAATTACCTTCGAACAGGGCAGCTTGTTGTTCCGGAAGACAAGATCGTTCGTAAAGAGTTGTTAACTGAAGCTGAGTTTTACCAAGTCCAAGGAATCATTGATGAGCTCAAAGCCAGCCCCTTTGAAGATTCCATTATTTTGTCCACAGAGCACTGCCAAACCTTGACGGGGTCCTTGACCAGTTGGTTGAAACACACGCTGACAAGTGCTGGCCACACCTACTCCCTGATATATCGCGCCTCTCTTAATGGCTGGGCAGCCTCCAACTTTCACTCTTTCTGCGATCGCAAGGGACCAACTGTGGTGGTTGTCAAAAGTGGGAATTATATCTTTGGAGGCTACACAGAGCAACACTGGGAATGTAAGTGGCATAGCAGAACTCATAACTCTTTAAAATTAAAGCGACAGGGTTAAAATTTGTGACTGATTGGTTTGATATAGCAGGGCAGTCAGTAAGATAATTCAAATTGCTGGGTGTATGCATTTAGCAAGTGTCCTACCATCCCAATGTTGTCTAGTCTGAAATGTCACACATCTCCACCCCCTGAACCCATGGGGGCACAGGGGAGAGAGATGTCTGGATTCTGAGCATTATAGAGTTGTCTGGGGTGACATCACCTACTTTTGCAAATATGGCAGGTATTTTTTTTGACTGGCTATTGCATGTACCTTTCTGAAAAACCAACCCTTTTATTATTGGCTCAACAGGCTGAGGAAAACATCCGGTTTGCAATAGTGTTGACAGGCTAATCTGTAACGGCCTCTTCACCAAGTAAAGACTCAACCATAGTGGCATCTGATGAGGGACGCTTTAATTCCAAAACTGCAGTCTTGCTTTAGACACTTGTAACAAAAAATGCACCACCAGTACAGTCAGATAGACTATTAAGCTAAAACAAAATTAATTGACAACAGAGGAACTGTAGGACATTGCACTCCAGTCTGAAGATTCACTTCTCTCAAGAAAAACAAAATGGATTGTATCAGTGCCAAAGAAATGATATTGACTGGCTCTCGATCAGCACAATTCTCCTTAGTTCGTGTTGCTTCAGTTTAAGCTACAATTCGGATCTGAAGTTTACTTACCTTGAGAATTCAAGATCCTGCCGGCAAACTACACTTAAGGTCACTTTAAAAGAGCTCGGTCTAGCGTCAAAACATAGCAGGAAATTATCACATTGACAGACAAAAAAAACTTCAGACATGCAGCTTTTCAGGTACTTCAGAGAAAACCAAATTAATTAAAATCTTTTTGAAAGGTTATTTAGCTTAAGGTTTCAACGGAGGTCATTGAAAATCAGTACTAAACTATACATCTCAGATCAAATCCTGCCAGAAACAAACCACAGGAAATAATTACTCAATATGTATGAATCAGACCAGCTTCATGACCTCTAAATGCTTAGACTCAGCCCGAGGCCTTGATGTATTGACAGAGCAATAGTGAAGTCAATACATCAAGGCTGAGGTCTGAGATTTTCCTGTAAAGGACCGAACGTACGAGGTTAATAAGACTTATTAGTTAATAACACTTATTAGTTATCTCTTATAATTATGGCCTTTTCGATCATTATGGACCTGAGCCTGTGATCAATTAAAACTAAAAACTGGTCAGTGGATAGCTTTAAAACACATCACCTCAACGAGTTGTTGCACTTTAGCCCACGATACAGTCAGGTGACACTGGTCAGCCAATACCCCTTTTTGACAGCTGTCAATTGACCATAACATGGATGTCCATAGGGATGTTCACTATTAAGTTATGCCTTGGACACCTAGAATAGCTATGCCCAGTCATTACAAGAAAACAGCCAATAAGAGCATGCATACTATTAATAAAGAAGATCCTCAATAATATATAGATTTAGCCAGGGCTAAAAGCGAAGCTCCCGTTAATAAATTCATAATTTAAATCAAATAATAAACTTGTAATCCGCAGATCAGGGCACATTCATTTGACGTTTGAGGCAAAGGCTAAGTGATTTTAGAGAAAAATAATTTGACAGTCCAAGAGTGAAACAGCTTTTACATCGAGTTATTAAATAATCTTATTTGTACACCCAAAAATAGCAATCATGTTCGATCACAGTAGATTAGGCCTGGAAAACAAATAGACCTACCTATTCGTGTATTGTATTTGCATTAGCTGTTGAATCATAATGTGGCATTCACCACTCTCTCCAACATTGCTCCGTTTGAGAGACTATGGATAATTGGACAACCCCGAAATATAATTTTAAGAAACACAGGCGCCACGATAGTCCTTGGTGGCAGCCAATTTACACGTTGCATTCCTCTGTCTAAAAGAGAGGCCAAAATAAAAAATCAGGCCGGATTTTTTGTGTTCGACAAGTTTAGTTTACTAGTAAATCTTGGCGACGAATCTGGTGGAGTGTAAACGTACCAGCCTTTTACACATACTTTTTCTCATCACGTCTCAGGTAAACAGTACTATGAGGCCCTTGTTTTTATCATACAGACCTCGGACAGAATTTGTTCTTTTTTGCCCTATTTAAACCTATAATTCTGCAGTTTTTCACAATTTTGCAAGAGAATTTGCACTCATTCAATATCCACGACGATCAAAACACGCGCTTCCTTTGCACAACAAATTATAGCATTGAATTATAAAACGTTTTCATGAAGAGAATTCTATAATGCCAGGACTTTCAGTTAGAAAAATCTGGTCCTATGTGATATGCAGGGTAAAATGGGCTTTTAATGAAAACGATAAAAAAATTCCCAAAATCACTTTTCGGCCAGCCGGACGGGGCTCACTTTTGACAGCCACTAAATTTGCAGTGCGATTAATAGAGTTACCATTTACGCTTCAACATGATAGATAAATTGTATGTTTAGG